TGAGTGGCTCAGTTGGTTAAGAGCTCGCTCAAGAGTTTGAGCTCTGAGCAACAGCGGTTCGAGTCCAGCCCGAGCTGAGCAGCCGCTGAGCTGCCAATAGGTAGCAGGATGGCTCAGCTAAAAAAAAATAATAATAAAAAAATAAAATAAATAAATAAAGAGTGTGAGCTCTGAGCAACAGCGGTTTGATGCCCGGCCCAAGCTGAGCTGCTGCTGAGCTGCCAACAGGTGGCAGGATGACTCAGCTAAAAAAAAAAAAAAAAGTACCTAGCATAGTGCTTGGCATATAACAAGTACTCAATAACAAACTGTCTTAAATATTATTATTGGGTTGGTAACTCCAGCAGCTACATCCAACCCACTTTCCTTTGCCACTTCTCTGGGTCCAGTGTCGAAGACCTGCTCTAGATTAGCACTGACCGACAGAAACATCATGTGAGCCAAATATATAAGTTAGAATTTTCTAGTAGCCTCATTAAAAAAGGTAGAAATAAACAGGAGAAATTAAGTTTGACAATATATTTTATTTAATCCCATATATCAAAAATATTATTTCAACATGTAATCAACATAAAAAGTATTATAAGATACGTAACACATTTTCCTTTAATACGAAGCCTCCAAAATCAATGTGTACTTATACTCGTAGCACGGCTAGGTTTGGACCCACCCCATTTCAGCGCTCAATAGTCACACGTGGCTATGGTTAACCTACTGGACAGTGCAAGTTGGGTGGCCCTTCCCTGTTCAGAGCTAAGTGGCCTACATTTTGGTTGAATTCTGGGCCTGTGTAGAAAATGCAAGAACTCCCTCCCCACAACGGTTTCTGCAATACTCTCCTGCTGGGGTTGAAGAGAACAGAAACAAAGGCAAATTACCAAGAAAATAAATCATTTCCTTTTCCTTATATCCATAGCAGAATAGTAACAATACACAATCATATAGAACCTTGCCTGTCTTGAGAGAAAGCATATTCTTCATTTGTACAAATAAAAGCCCCAAACACCCTGGCTTTGATTTGCGGCCAGCAAGGCCTAAGGTAATCAGGGCTCAGACAGGACGTGACCAAACAGATCATTTTGGGTAAAAGTGAGTATTGGAGTTTCCCTATCCAGGGGCCTTAAGGCCCAGAGAGCCATAAAAAATGAGAGCTAGGGGACTGCAGTGGCCTGGGCCAGCCCCTCGTTTTGCAGACCTCTGGGCTCACCATGCTTTCAGAGCTGAGCATATGAACTTGGACATAAAAGGTGGTTGAAGCTTGAAGAAGAAAGCCCGCGATGGAAGCTGAAGGAAACAGAATGGTATATTGAAGAAGCACCTTATCCTCTGCCTCTTGCTGGTGTCAAAGTAAGAAATAGGAGATTTTAAAAACAATGGGATTGTGCAATATGATTTTTAAAAACCAAACAAACAGAAACAAAAAACCATTGCTAGAGATTCTTTATTTTAAAAAAAAAAAAAAACAGCCTAAAACTTTTCAGCCAAAGTGTTTGAGGTCAGTCCTACTGGTAAGAGGCAACTGGTCTTGTTAACTGCGCGTGATTCTTTCGAGCCTTAGGAATCTCCATTTGCATAAATGACACTTGCAAAGAGAGGCATAAGATGACATTTGGACAAATGCCACTTTCTTCAAATGAAAAAGAACTGGCCTCAGTTATACAAAGGAAGTTTTGTGGGAGCAAAAGAATAAGGAGAATTCTAAACCCAGATTTTCAATTTGATTCTGTCTATAGAAAGTTTGACATCCCAGATAAAGAACAAGAGCAAATTAAAACTATGTGTCAAGGCCACTCTGACCATCTTGACCTTAAATGACACGCAGAGACCAGGAAACACAAGGAAATGAATTTAAGATACTCATACTCCAAATATACATATCCATTTGTATTTGTTTCCTTCTCTTTTTTCAATATGTTGGAGAAAAATATGCTGACAGAATGGCCACTGACTGAGCTGACCCTGTTCTTCACAGGGCTGAAAATGGAAAGGCTCACTTCCCAGGTCTGGGGTGGGTGGGGGCGGGGGAGAAAAGGGTGAC